AAACAAAAGGAAGATGCCAAGATTGATCCCAAAGGAATGATAGTCAAGTGGTCTTGATTAGGGCTGAGCATGGGACTCGGAGAATTCCGAACCGTTCTGAAAACCGAACTGGAAAATAACCGTTGACCGTTTGACTTTCTCCGAACCGAACCGAACCGAAAAAATAATTGGTATGGTTCTGGAGATTAGACAAATATCCGTACCGAGAACCGAACCGTACCGTACCGAACTGTACCGAACCGAAATTAAGAATCGAATTATAACATTGAATGTGTTACTAATATACTTTATGTCAACTTTGATTCTATATAATATAGAAATAAATATTAACATTCACTTAAATTTCATTCTTAGTAATACTTGATCTACAATTGAATTTTTTCTATTATAAAATAATTATTTGAAATAATATGAAGTTTAAAAAATATTTTTGTAAGAAAAAAATATTATATTTTATTTGAATATTAAATTTTCAATATTAATTGCACAAATTTTAGTTATAACTAAAATTTAGAGTTACTTATAAAGTTGATTTCAAAATAAAATCTTTAATGTGAGGAAATAGTGATGAATGTTGTTTTATTAGAGCATATAAAAATTAAATAACTAAAATTTAGAGTTACTTCTAGAATTGATTTCAAAATAAAATCTTCAATATGATGAATTATTGATGAATGTTGTTTTTTAAAGCATATAAAAATTGAAATATAACTAGGTAGTCATTCAAAAATAATTTAAAAAAAAAAATAAAAAATCTCCGAAGATCCGAACCAAACCATACCAAACCGAACTGTCTCAATTGTCCTGAATACCGAACCGAACCGAATAGAAAAATAAAAATCTCCGAACCGAACCGAACCGAACTGAATTTTTGGTACGGTTCCGGAGATCGAATTTTGGGATCTCCGAAGTTTGGTACGGTTCTGGAAATTTATCAATCTCCGAACTGTACCGACCCACGCTCACCCTTAGTCTTGATCGCAATCCTTCCCCGAGATCGTAAGGGTAAAGCTATGAGCCGTCCATCTTGCGAATGAGGCTGGTACGACCTGAACCATAAATATGGAACATAGATTTACTGAAAGAATACAATCAGTCCGGAAGACGAAGACAATGGAATTTCTAGAAAGCTTGCCCGCGACCAGTCATTGTTTATCTCGATTGAACGACCATACAAACGAAGCGAAGTTCAGTCATAGAGATTTTGATTCCATGGATAGGGGAGGGTTTGGACAGACGGTACATTCCCTCTTCTTTTCTGCTTGTAAGGTATGAGTACGGCAGTAAAGAATCAAAGCCTTGGCCTCTTCAAGTACATCAAAGCAATGAAAGCCAACAGTCGTAGGGGAATTGGATCGAGTGGAGTCCTATAGAAGATATTGGCTTATTCGATAGCTTAAGAGAAGATCTTCTAGTAAGAGAAGAAATGGACTAACGTAAGATGGGAATGCCATTTTCTTAGTATGACGAAAGGGGATTTCGAGCCTGCTAAAATCTATGTGAACAACTAGGAGCCCTTCTTTCATTTAGCGATTACCAAGGATCGATTGCTAAGAGCACTTTTCGATCAGCTAGCTTATTCTACAACTTCCACTTCTTCCTAAGCTCTTCTAAGAAAGCGGATCTCCTTCATCTTCTTCTTAAGCACTTCCCGCTTGTGGCAATGTCATGCGATTTTCCTTTTTTTAGTGGGCCATATGAAGAAAGAGGTCCAGTAGACCTTCTTTCGCCATCATCCGCATTTTGAGTTCTCTAGTGGAGGCGAGCCAGTGACATTGTCGGGGAATAGAAAGATGGGTCCCCCTAAATCCTAAGGCATTTTCGGGGAATAGCCCTCCTCTACTTTCTTATGTTCAAAAGGTCCTTGCGAGAAAAAGTCGATCAGAATACAAATAAGATCAGAAATGCCATCATTAGGGCAAAGAGGGTAATTGCCTCGTCAATTACATCGAACCTGATCAAGCAACCAAGACCAACAAGATCGAAGACAAGATTTTATTTATAGAGATTCATTTGCTTTCTTTCTTTTTTCACATCACTACGGTCGGGCTATCGTAAGATTCTTCCGAGCCTCTGGCTAAGAAAGGGATCGGTGGAGTGACGAGTGCGTAAATCATTCATTCTTAGGCCCAATTATGTTACGCCAGTGATTGTAGAAAAAGAGTGAAACGGGCTTAGAGGCTCCTTCGCCCGCTAGAGACTTCTATGCCAGCCGGGAATATGTTGCCCTTGTCTCCCGCCCCTCAAATGGGTTGGAAAGAGCATGGTTAGGGTTAGGGATTTCTAATCCATGCTACCTATTTGACTGACGATGGAGTTTCAGGTGGCTTTAGTCTTTTGAATGTTCCTGAGGTGGATCAATTCGCAGCACTACAGTCGGTCCGCTGCCGGATATCGCACATCTTTCGGGAGGGTCGATGTAAGCCTTATCACCAGCCATTCTGATAGTCTTCCGGTTGATGATGAACTTGTTCTCATACTCTTCGCCTTTCGGCTAGAATAAATAGAAGAGAAATTCTTACGCTCGACCAAGAATAAGGCAGATACCGATTTACTGCCTTTAGGCACAATCAGCCTCAAAGAGGGCTTCACAGTTCGCTTCTTGGCTATGGATGGGACTTTTCATCTGCACAAAGCCTCTGGAGCGATTACGTCGTATTGCGTATTGAGAAATTGTTTAGTTACGATTTCTCTTCTTTAGCTCCAGAACAGTTGAAGCGAAAGGGGCTTTCTAAGTCATGCTTGGTTCTGTCCTTCTTTAGTAAATCCGTCAAAGGACTAAATCGAAAAGATACAGCAGTCAACAAGGTACGGCAATTCACTTCAATTAGAAGAATTATAAGAAGAGTTGAATGAGGCTCGACTAAAATAAAAGGAGAGGAATGCATTGGATGTTGTAACTGGATAGTAATCGCGGATCAGCCTGAGGTATAGCACTCAATAGGATTCTGATAGGTGCACCTTGTATATTGTATTTGCAATCTATAGCTCTTCGCTTACTTTATTACTAGAATGGAAGCAGAAACATTTTCTACAATGTCACCCTGTATCTACGGATCCTTCCTTGGCGGTGGACGAGTCCCTAGCTGTATGCAGGTACAGGCGAGATCTAATTCAACCGAGCGAGTAGAGTAAGCTCAGTCGGATCGACACATCTCCTAAAGAATCTTTCCCTCCGGATTTAAGAATAATAATTGTCGGTAAGGCTATTGAGAAAAAGGGCTTCGCGCCTTATTAAAAATGAAGATTCTAAATGGCTCAGCAGGAGTAGGAAAAGATTACAAAAGCGTCTTTTTTTTGGTCAATTACATCGAGCAAGCTACCATTGACATTTGACACCTGAACCATAGTCAAAGGCGGATTGAAGTCTCCCTAACTACCTCGGCAAAGGCACATCACTCATCCACATGAAAGAGTATATTTAAAGGCAGAGATCAAGAGAGTCGACTCGCTTTAGTTATCCATCCATCCGTCGAGTCGATTCATCCACTTTGATGATTACGCTTTTTCCTTCGACGGAAAGAGTACCAGAGTTCAAAGCATCATGAGATTTGATTCTAATTATAACCGCTAGGGCACTCCACTAGATGAATTACCCAAAGTAAAGTACAAGACAGGCAAAAAATGGGAAAGAGTTTTCCCACCCGAATCGGTTTGGGTGAATTACTTCTTCGTCTCCAATTACAAATCGAAGAAGGTCAGGCATGGTCCATTGTAATTGTTGTCTCTAGGGTTGCACATTCAGGGCTAGGTGTCATAACCTGGAAAAAAGATGCAAAAAGGATGATAATCAAACCACTTCTAACCAAAGATTATTAAGCATGGAAATGTAAGTAACAATTACTAAGCAAGGATAAATCTCAATGTGTAATTTCATTAAAAAGTTAAAATAAAATCCAGGAGAATATATTGCATCTTCTTCAAACTGAAACAATTAAGATGAAACGACTGTCTGACCTTTTCAACAAGCGTCGGTTCAGGAGAGAGGTTTTGGGCCACAACTCGCATGAGTATATCTTTTGAACTGCAATATAGTTCCAACAAAAATATTAACAGTCAAGTTAATCTAAAAATAGCACGTATCAATTTCGAAAATCCATTTCAACAAGAAAGAGAAAAAAGCAAAGAAGCTTAGTTCTCTGATCAGAGGGCAGTACGTGAGTATCCCCTGGATGTTGCTTCCTGTCATAATAAGAACCGAATTGACCCGTAATTCACGCATTCTTTTAGCAGCAACATAAACAGGATCTGAAGGCGATACAGTTGCAACCCTGATGATATAACAAATTTACAGGTTTAGTAACTAAAACGATGCCAAGAGAAAGGAAAAGCCACAGAAAACACAGTTTACCTAGAAGTCTCAGAAATGATCGTAGACAATGAAGGCTTGAACATGCGTTCCCTAAGTGTTCTATAAAAGCCAATGGTGCTGAAATACAGAGAAACAGGAAAAATTATAATTAAGATTACGCATACTAATCCATATATGAGACAAATACTCGACAGGTGCCAGAAAATATGAAGTGTTTCAAATTCCATAAGGCAGTCATACAATAGTTTGCACAGCAAGCTTTCTCAAATAGGTGACCCTAAGCGTTTAGCCATCCTAATACACTAGATTAGGATTCGACATATATACATGGAAAACTTGGACGCAACTTCTCAAAATTGGAATACTTCGACAAGCATCATGACATAAAGTTATAACTGAGTTAGTCATCCTGCTGCCCTGCACCAAACAGTATAACTGGGAACTCCAAACTCTATTGTTTTATGTTATATATTGATTTTACTAGTTCCACATGCGAACATTAGCCTCACATAGTGAAAAAGGACATGTATCAAAGCTTCGGAAAAGAAGCTGATAAAAGCCATGGTAAGAAAACGATTAATTACAAACCGGTCATAGAGATGAGAGACGCTTTTTCTTTCTTGTCATCTGTGTGCACATTGATTGATCCTTATAGTAAAAAACATGTACAGCATGTAAAAAATATTAACTAACCAGAAAAATTATTTCCAAGTTGACGCTCAACGCCTTCGACTGCCTCTGCAATTGCACTCCCCTGCTCAGCAGCCTTAACCATTCTTGATATGGCATCATACAGACACTTTGTAATATCTAATAGTGCTATAACTTCACCATTCTCAACCACGGGAAGGTGCCGGAATTTTCCTATGAAAATTGGTAACTTTTATATATTAGCAGCAAAACCATATTTTATATTAGTAGTAAAACTATAACAAAATGAAAGTAAAGGTTTGAATAGTAATACAAATGGGCATTCATTGTACTCTTTCACACCAAAAAATATTGAGAGAATTACTCAAGTGTTTGATAAGCATAAGGACAGGCTAACCAACCTTGGACCATCTTTTGCAAAGCATCAATAGCTAATGAATCTGAGTTCACAATAATTGGGTTTCTTGTCATTACTTTCGAAATTGTTGTCGGATCTGGCCTCAACTCCTCAGCTATGACCCTGGTTGTTATGTCCTGCCCAAAAATAGTAGTAATAACAACATTAATAATATCTGCAATAACAATACTAATAATTGCAGTAAATGCAAAACCAACAATCTTAAACAAAAAAAGTAATGCTGCACATTTTATCACGGTAATTTACAGAGAAGAGGGGAAAACATCATTACTATACATGTTCCACCCATTAGCATACGAGACATAAAGCATGATCACCAGATGAGCACCTTGTCAGTAACAATTCCAGAAAGCAAGGCATTAGCATCGGTCAGAAGAACAGCATCAACACGCCTTGCCGCCATCCTCCTACAGGCATCCGACACAGTGGTTCCCTCTGGAATTGTAAGTGCCTTAGACAACCTCAGATTCTTCACTGTCCTCTCCCCTGCAACAGGTCTACATATGCATATAAAAAGCAAAAGTTCCCAGATCAGAATTACACAGACTACATATTATCGATCATTTTAATACTAGTTCATGACAAAGTATAGAACGAAATGGAAAACAAATTATTGTAGCCTAAAATTGTAATTCATAGACTGCATAATATGTGCATGATTATAATGAACACGACTTAAAATAAACAGGACGGAAAGAAGAAGCATATATGCAACAAAAATCGGCTATAACAATTTCTACTCAACAGCAAATGATCCGTCTAAAAGTTCGAGCATAGAGGTAGAAGAATGGGACCCCATGGTACTAGGCAGTCATATAATAAAGTGTATTCATTTACTAGAGACACGCACGCAAGTAAACGACGTAATAAACATTATCTGGGGAAAAAAATATAAAAGCGTGCATTGGGAGACAATAGTTAATATTATTCATTTCCAACCTCCTACAACCCCACCCCACAGTAGAACAGCTTATACTATTAAGAGAAAAAAGGTTACCCGTAAGTTAGCAAATTACCAAAGTGACTGGGAAAGCTGGACATTTGTGGCACCTTATCAGTTTCTTATGTATGTAAATGTAGTAGAAACCATCATATTCACACTACAATCCATTTTGACTACATTTTACTGTAGCAAATGAATGCTACCTCTATTTCTACTTCACTTGATTAAAATTTGGAAAGTAGAAGAAGACTAATTATTAATTTGATTATCGCACACAAAAAAAAAGTTCTCTACCAAAACTCAATGTCAACTTCTTCATTCTCCAGGTTCTGTTCACAATAACACTACCAACTTCTGACTCCAAACCACTTTCGCTTTTGCGGCAAGAAAAATCACTTCATCCTATAGTATAAGTGTTTGCACATACTAACTAATAGCCGCAGGGCTTTTCGTGCAATAAATTCTCGCTCGCCTCATATACAATGCTCCACCATTAAAGCATCACATCAAATCTTCTGCATCAAGAATGTATTTACCAAGAAAACCAACCATTTTTTCCCTACTCAAAGTCAACTACTAGTTCTCAAAAAATTTAAGCTTTCGCCTTTAAAGTAGCGGTCTTTGCATCCCCATTTGATCAATGATGAAGATTTTAACTCAACTCAAACAAGAAAAACAGAGAGTGATAGAAAACTGGTAAAGAAAAAAAAAAAAAGAATATGAAATCT